CATCCCCTCTCCCCTCTCCTCTCCTGCCCTGCCCTCTCCTCTCCTGCCCTGCCGCACCGCGGTGTCCGCACCTGGATGGGCCTGCCGCTGATGGACTGGATCTCTCGACCCGTGCCGCTGACCACCCCCACCGTGAGTGTGTGGTCCAAACCAAAGGGGTTGCCGATGGCGAACACCTGCAGGGAGGGGGAGGGAGGGAGGGGGGGTATCCACGTGTAGGGGGGTTGAGGTGCAGTGCAGTCCGACGTGGCGTATTGTGGTGCAGCGGGTGGGTGGGTGGGCGAGTGGGTGGGTGGGTGACCGGCCGCCCACTGCCCCCGTCTTATCTCCCCTTCCCCCTCCCCATTCACATCCCAAAACGCATTTCACTTCTAACCTCCCTCCCTCCCTCCCTCCTTTACCCCCTCCCCCCCTCCCTCCCTCCCTCCTCCCTCCCTCCCTCCTCCCTCCCTCCCTCCCTCCCCCTCCCCTCCCCAAAACGCACCTTTTGCCCCACCATAATATCCGCGGAGCTGCTGCACAGACTGAGCGGCGCCAACTGCATCGCGGGGGGACTGCGGACTGCCGCAACACCCGCCGAACCCAGACCCGAGCCCGAGCCCGAGCCGGGGCCCTGCGGTGGTGATTGCGACGACGACGACGACACCGGCGTTGCGGCCGCCAGAAGCTCACCCTCCGCCGGCGGGCCCATCGGACCGATCTGAAGTACGGCGATGTCCTTGTCTTGGTCCTGTGTCGTACAAATCGTACATGTAGGCGGCACATCAAGTACGGTACGCGCGGGTGCGCGTGTTGAGTGCTACGTGTGCGTGTGTGTGTACGTCTGAGCGTGTATGTGCGGCGATGCGCATGACTGAGCGTGCCATAGCGTCGCGCGCCCGCGCTCGCCTTGGCGAGGTTTCGGAGCCGGCGGGGTTGGCGGTTCAGGTGAGCTCAGCCAAAGAGCCAATGCCCTACACCACCCACGGGCTCACTGCCTCGACCCCTCTCCCCCTCTTCATCTGGTACCCCCCATATACGTGGATAACCCCCCATTCAACTCACCACGCCCACCACTCGGGCTGACAGCTCCTCTCCATTCGCCAGTGTGACCTACCGGGGGGAGGGAGAGGGGCCGAGTGTGGGGGGCGGTGGGCGAGGGCGGGGGCCGCCATTGGCACGGTGGTCGAACAGCGACGCGAAAGTAAGGACTTGGCGGGCAGGGGCGTCGGAATCCGAAATGGAGGCGGCAGTGCTACTAGGGGACACTGGTCGAAAATTGACGGCAGGGCCGGCCGTACTGCCGCTTCAGGGCACAACACACTGACCCGCACACGCACGCACCCAGCCACTGACCCATGGGTCCGTGCGACCCCTGGCCAACACAGGCCTACTGACCCACACATCCGTAAGCCAGGCACCGACCCACGGTCCAGCCACCGACCCCCGGGTCCAGCCCCGCCCCAGGGGTCCAGCCACCGACCCAGGGGTCCAGCCACCGACCCACGGGTCCACAAGCCCAGGCTGCGCACCGACCCAGGGGTCCAGCCACCGACCCACGGGTCCAGCCACCGACCCACGGGTCCACAAACCCAGCTGCGCACCAACCCACGGGTCCAGCCACCGACCCAGGGGTCCAGCCACCGACCCACGGGTCCACTAAACCAGCTGCGCACCGACCCACGGGTCCAGCCAGCGACCCAGGGGTCCAGCCACCGACCCACGGGTCCACAAACCCAGCTGCGCACCGACCCACGGGTCCAGCCAGCGACCCAGGGGTCCAGCCACCGACCCACGGGTCCACAAACCCAGCTGCGCACCGACCCACGGGTCCAGCCAGCGACCCAGGGGTCCAGCCACCGACCCACGGGTCCACAAACCCAGCTGCACACCGACCCACGGGTCCAGCCACCGACCCAGGGGTCCAGCCACCGACCCAGGGGTCCAGCCATCCACACACACGGGTCCAGCCACTGACCCAGGGGTCCAGCCACCGACCCACGGGTCGCCGCACCTTGATGTCACTGGCATCCTGGATCACGTGGTAGTTGGTGACCACGTGGCCCGACGAGTCCTGCACATGGCACGACAGGACAGGAAATGCACTCGAGGGAAAAGGATGTAGAGCAAGGTATGGTAGAGCGACGTAGAGGTATAGAGGACCGTCAGGGGGTAAGCTTCAGATTGAGGTCGAGGTGGAGGTTGAGGTGGAGCACACGGGGCCCGCCATCCCGGAGCCGTCCAGGCGCCACAGCCCCCTCCCCCCTCCCGCCCCGCAGCCACCTGCCCTCAGCCGGGCACTCCCCGCCACGTACCTACCCAGATGAATCCGCTGCCCTGCCCCTGCGGCATCTCCATCATGTTCATGGTGAAGGCATCGCGCCTGGAGGCACGACAGGACAGGGCAGGGCAGGGCAGGGCAGGGTGGGAGATTGCGAAATTGGTACTTGGCGGGGGGGGAGAGAAGACAGGACAGGACAGGGGACAGGGCAGGTGCGGGACAGGGAAGGGTTGACCGGGGCAGGGGGAGGGCGCGGAGAGGTCCACACCTCCCAGTGCCGGTGTGGGGCCGCACGAGCCGGGAGGTGCAGAGCGGAAGAGGTGGCGCGGGAGGCGAAGCGGAAGAGGCGGGAAGCAGGAGGCGAAGCGCATACACGGCATGGAGATGGCACAGCATGCAAAGCCGGAGAGGTGCAAGAGTAAGGTAGGCGCGCAGGGACGGACTTATCGGCCCATTAGGGATCCCTGCGAGAGAGCGCGTGTATGTACGTGTTGTTGTTGTGTAGGGGGGTGCGGGTTGGGTACTCTTTGGGCGGGATGGAGAGAGGCGCCTCCCACTCGCCCGCTCTCGCTCCCTTCGTCCCTTGCCGTCCCTGTCCCGCGTCCTGACGGCCCCCGGTCCTCCAACAGTCTTCGCCTCACTTGACGGCCAGGTTGGTCACGTTGACCACACTCGGCGTGGATTCTTTGAAGATTTCAATCGTGAGCTGCTCGTCCGGTGTCAGGCGTGGCCGACTGAGCGCAGGGCCGGGGGCCAGGCAGCTGCCAACCAGCAGCGATGCCGCGCCCAGAGTGGCGACGAGGGACGAGAGCAGCCGCTGGAGAGGCGGGCTTACGCCGTCGGCGCCGTTGTGGGCTAGGGTGGGCCCAGGGGGTGGTGTTTGACCGGAGAAAGCTGGGGGCTGTTGGCCATGTGGACGAGATTTTGTTGGCAGTGCACAGGGAGGGTGCGGTCCGCGAGCGGGGCCTGACGGCTGGAGGCGCCCATCGCTGACCAGGAGCTGCAGGCCGACGATGCGGCCGGGCGCGAGGGTCCGCTGCGGTCCTTCTGTGCAGCAGTGCGTGGATGGAAGGTTGACAGAGTGGTGCACGCGTCAACACCAAAGCGCCAAAAACTTTATGCAAGAGGTAGACGCAAGCTTACTTGACGACAACCTACACTGACGCACCTCTAGGGCAGGTTCGCGCATTGTAGTTTTGGTGAAGGTTCATGCCTCCGACCCGAGAAGCGCGCAGGCCTTTACTGCAATTACTTTGGCTTTGGCTCACACTATAGATTGACGATCACAAAATATGCTTTTCAAACTGATGTCGCAAGAGCTGCGCGAAGGCGACAGTAGAACTTCCGACAGCGAGTGGTTGGAACGGCTCCGTACCGAACGGCCTTCATGCTTAGGTACCGGCTTAAACGCCCAACAGACCGCACTCTATCCCTCATTCCCAGAACAGGGTGTACTACATGACTTAAGCTTTCAACGGCAGTCTTGATGCTTGCTCTACCCAACAGGACCCAGCTCGTGTCAACATGGCAAATGCCCAGGGCCGTTATCGCCAGCGCAACCGTGTGGGAAAATTAGCTGTTGGAGGGCGCAGAGGTGAGAAGATTTAAACCCTGTCATGGGTTGGGCCAGATGATGATGCAGGTTCCCGGGCGCTGTGTGCGGGACAAGCAAGGACGGACAAAGAGCAGAAACCTTCCCGGCCACGAAGCAGCTTAAGCTGCGCCAAGGGGTCCGATTGCGAAAAGGCCAAGAGACAGCCGAACGCCGCTTGGAGCTGGGTGCACACAGAGGAAATGGTGCAAACCGTCAAGTTCCGCCAGCCTCGCTAGCCCCTACGCTCCAGCCTGCAAGTCTGCACACGAGCGGAGCTCTCAACCCGCGGCCTCCCCGGTTGGATGCAGACTCAGCCAAATGGTCCCACAACCTGTTTAGCCACACGCTTCTGTCCCCCCGTACTGCGTGCCGCAAGGAGCGCCCTCCGATACTGACGCGCCGTCCACAGGCGCAGCGCCTCGGACCTCAAACGTGCTGAACTGTACTGGATTGCAACCGCGTTACCACACCAGCAACACTGCCCGCGCCAAGCCGCACGCGGTTAACTATTCGCATGAAGTCCTTCACCCATGCCCTCGCTTGCCCACCCCCGCAGCTCTTCTTTGTCGAAGGTATTGTTACAGCGTGGGTAGGTTCTCTGTTGGTAATGCCACGAGATTGTTATGCCTTAGGGCACCACCACCTGCACCTCATTGCACTATGCCGTACGATCTTGTAGTCCAAGGCAGTTGACCCTGCCAACTTAGGATTTCATCACATCCGTTCACCCGCACATTTGTAGAGACAGAGGGTGCAGCAATTGCCACCTTTCCAGCGTGTGATTCTAGGTCCATCAACTATTACCTCAACACCACATTTTAGCAGCTAGTCATATTCTCTCGTTCCCGTCATGATCGGGGGTATCCACTGTACATCATCCGCTCATCATCCGTCTGATAACTTACGGGTCGGCCGGAGACTTTGAACCCTTCTCGTTCTAATGTGACCCATCTCAATTCGACACGCATGTGACGACCTTGCATCAACTCAACGAACTTACCCGTCCCGCTTTAACCCAACCCTCAACGGCCTGCCCGCACGCGACCTCTGCGCAATGAACCCCTACGCTGTCGCCCTGCGCGTGTACGCGCCTGTGTCTTACTACCGCACAGTCCATGGAAGGGTAAACTTTCTCTATCTGCATCCGTTTCCGTGGCGTAGTTGGTTATCGCGTCAGATTTACACTCTGAAGGTCTCCGGTTCGAACCCGGACGGGAACATTTAAGTTATTGCCATGGAGGGCTAGCTCGCTTGTCATTCACGTAGTGGTGTTTGCCAGATGGCGGCGGGCATTTCCGGGTTTTGGGGGCGGTACGGCAATGCGACTGAGCTGGCATTGCAGTGTACGTGTGATTGACTTCAAGGGTTTGCAAGTGCATGTGTGAGGCTTATACGGCTCATAATCGGCACAAAAGGAATTGCAACCGATTGCTTTCCTCGATGAATCAGACCAGGGAAGAATCAGACTGTGCAGCTTTGCTAATGTGAGGCATGGCCCTTAACGACAGCAAATGTGCCGCACTCCATCATTGCAGGCTACGCTATCACCTCTTGACTGCACTTCTGATCAGCGCGAAACCCGTGCAGCAGGCGACGGGCTGCCTTTGCGTCCGGACTTTATCAGCTCCACCCCTCTACACAGTCTCCTCATCTCTCCTGTCTCCTCCCGTTCCACCCGTGTCGTCTTCTGGGCGGGGATATACACCTGCTCACGCCACGCCCGGTTATGCTGTTCACCCATGTATCGCCAGGTATCGCCCTCATGCTGTGGGTTTCGGGACAGAGTGATGGCTCAGTTCAGTGACAGGAGCAGGTACGGAAATTCGGGCGCCTGATGAACTGGCCCTGTTGTGAGCAGAAGGCAAGGCTAAGGGGAAATGTAATTCAGGGGAAACCTGTAGACAGCTGCCTCCTTCCGGCACAAGAAGGCCGTCTGCATATGTTTAGTAATGTTCTCCACGGGCCGAGCCTCAAACCAGCCTTATAAAGAGCATAAATACACGCTACGTAGATGCAGAAGATGTCTAAACAGGAGCCTAAATCTGCGGAGACAGCGCTGCCATCGCTGCTCGACGCGAGACGCACGAACATAAATATGTAATGTCAGGTTACATGTATCATGAAATGTCTGCAGATTTATTTGTGCCCTCATTAGGCGAGCAGGGTAAGCTCTGGCGGGGAAGGTTCGTTGGTTTCGGCGCAAGACATATTGTGCTCAAGTTCCCGGTCCCAACACTTCCAAATAAAGGTCTTAACGCGAGTAGACCTATAACGCCAGTCGGCTCCTGCATTTCGCGCGCACTCTCCTACCTGGTGTGGTGTACATACGGTAGGTCGAGCAGTCGGTGTTCCCAGGTTTATGCGCTGCACGAGCCCTTGACGCGTCCATACTGTACAAGGCGGGCCATGGAGTGCGTGTGCTTCACCCTCATCGTCGACGACATCGTGCTGCCTCATGGGGAGACGGCCATGGAGGTCTTGGGCGGGGGTGGTGAGTGCGTGACTCTGCCAACTTGCACCTGCAGGTGCCGATCAGCAGCCCATGCACGGGTTTTTCCACTTCAACCCTTCACCAAATTCAGAACTGACCGCAAGGCCCCACCTTTGTCCTCCCTCCCCACCTTCACCCCCCGCCCCCCGCACACACAAACACAGGCCCTCAAACCCTGTTTGGCTACCAGCTGGTGACGAACCAGAGTGCGGCCGTAGGCCTGTCAGGTGGGTCGGGTACAGGACCACCCTTCCTGGAGCTCCTTACCACGTCCACACTCCACAGCTCTCATCACACCCATGGCTGAGCTTCCGCATCACAAACACACCGGAGGTACTGTTGTCAACATCAAAACACATAAGCCCATCCCACGGACCCGATGGCACAGTTCGGTGGCCACGTTCGCAGAATATCGCAGTGGCAGCACACGGGGGCGTCCAGCCCCGCCCCCCTCCCTCCCCCTGCTTTGCCCCCTCCCCGGCCCCCGGCCTATACGTGGATACCCCCCCGAAACACACAAGCCGTCTCCGTTCCTTCGCTGCGGTACCGTCTTTCTTACCCCTTACGCACACACGCTCCTCCACTCGCACCGTCTCCGTCCCTCCGCTGCGGTATCTCCTTAACTCCCGCCCCGCCCCCCAATACACACACGCAGCGGGCGTCGGACCCGACCTGCCCCGGCGCTGCAAGGTGCGAGGCTGGTCAAAAGGCGCAGCCGTGTCCGGGCCGGGTACTGAGGTGCTGGGGTGCTGCGTGCTGGGCTGGCTGGCTTCGGAGCCCTAGGGACGAACTGCCTCGCTGGCCTCGCTGCCTTCGCCGCCCTCCCCCGTCCGGTGACGGCCAAGTCGATCAATCCTGCTTCCCTTCCTGCTGCCCGCCACCCGCTACCCACTACCCGGGGGGGAGCTATGGTACATGACGCGGCGATGACACACGATACATGGCACATGGGACATGGTAGCAGGGGCCCTTGATCGCTCCACGAATGACGGCGGAAGGTTCTGGAAGGCCACGAGTGACGTGGTTTCGGAGCCGCCATTGTACCAACCACCACCACAACAACGGTCCTGGATTGGACGTGCAGGACTGGCTCGAGTCTCTCGGGGTGGACACCTCAGGGCTGGTGCCGTACGATCGGCCCACGCCGCGCGCCTGGCAGGTGTTCGAGGAGTGGGGCCGCCGTACGCAGGTGGGTGGGTGGCTGGGTGGGTGGGTGGGTGTCTATGTGCGTGCGTGTACAGGTGTGTGCATGTATGGGCGTGTACGTGTACGTGTGTTTGTGCGTGTATGTATGCGGGGGCTCAGCCCCGAGGAAGAGCCTTTTCCAGCAGGCTGGGACAGATGGAGAGAGAGACAGCGAGGGTCAATCGGAAGGGAGCGCACACGCGCGTGGGGGTTTCGGAGCCAACGTCCTCAAGGGAGCCGGGACAGCCCACTCTGCCCACTCTGCCCACTCCGGCCGCCCCTGTGGACAGATCTGGCGCGGCCGCGAGGACCCCTGTGACGAGCTGTACGACATGCTTCGCCCCAAGTACGACACGATGCCGCCGCACTTTCGCCGCTCGTCCAACTACCACCTGGGCATCCACCCGCTGCACCCGCCCACCACCCTCATGAGGCAGCTGCGGCAGGCGGCGCACGACAACGGAGGTACGGCAACACGGCAATTATTCAGCACCGGCGTCGGCGAACCCCCCCCCCCCCCGCCCCTCTCCCCGCCCCTCCTCCCCCTTTCCCAGGTGTGCTCTCCATCGAGCCCTACACCTCCGCGGAGACGCCCGCCCGCCCCGACCAGGTGACCTCCCTGCTGTCCCTCTGTGACATCTTCTCACCCAACCAGGCGGAGGCAGAGTCCATCGTGGGGCCCGGTGGGTGACTGGGTGGGTGGGTGGGTGGGTTGGGGGCTGGCTGGGTGTTTGGCCGGGTGGTTGCCCCTACCGCTGCCTTCGGCCTCGTTTCGACGCGTCTGCGCCTCCGTGCCACCCCCCTCACAGCTCGCGCCCTTTCCTACCTCTCCGCCCGGGAGTGCCTTCTGCCTCCGCCCCCGCCTCCATAGCCACCCACCCGCCCACTCGCCAGCGTCTCCCACCTGTGTCCGTCTCCCACCTGTGCCCCGTGTCCTCCACCTGTGGCCGGCGATGCAGGATCTCCCGAGGAGCTGGCTCGCAGGCTGCTGGCGCTGTCGCCACCGGGCGGGGCGGATGTGGTGGTGGTGCGATGCGGGGCGGAGGGGGTGCTCGTGGCGCGCAGGGCGCCGGTGGAGCCGAGGACGCAGCAGCAGGCGGCGGCGTCTGTGGGGGCGGAGGCGGAGGCGGCGGCGGGGCCGTGCATGGTGGAGGTGGAGGCGTATCGGGTGAGGCGGGAGGTGGGGGGAGGGGCGATTGCGTGAAGCGGGCGGGTAGGGGCCGGAAATCAAGCGCCTAAAAGTCGATGAGGGGGGAGAGGAAGGGCGCTGGATTTGCGCGATCTTCCATTGCGGGCTCTTCCGCCTCGCCCCTACCCCCGGTAAGTATTAATGCGTTCTGGGTCCGTTCGCTAACGCCGTCTCCGTCTCCGCTGCGGTATCACTTTTTACACCCTTTCCTCCTTGCCCCGCAAGGTACCCGCCGTGGAAGACACGGCCGTGGTGGACGTGACGGGCTGCGGCAACGCCTTCTGCGGCGGCTTCCTGGCGGCGATGTACCGCGGCCGCAGCCGCGGCGGCACCGTCAGCGCCGTCAGCGGCACCGTCAGCGCGGAGGTCTCGGAGCCGTCAACCTCCGAGGCGGGGCCGTCCGCGCCGGCGGAGGGCCGCGGTGCTGGCGGTGCCGGGCAGCGGCAGCGGCCGCCGCAGCGGCCGCCGGCTTGGGTGCGGGCGGGCGATCTGTGGATGGCGGGTGCCTGGGGCTGTGTGGCTGCCAGCTTTATGGCGGAGGAGCGGGGGGTACCCATGAAGCGAGTGGCGGATCTGCAGGTGGGTTGGGTTGAGTTGGATTCGTGAATGAGTGAGGGGTGGGGCTCTGTGGGGGTACCGGAATGGTGGTGGAGCCGAGGTGATGGGACGGAGGGCGGTGACGTCAGCGAAGGAGCGAGCCTGGGCCCTGCAGTAGTTTACCGACTGGCAGCTCGTGGAGGACTGCCAGCGGCCTGCGCATCGGCTTTCTGGGTTTGGGGGCCATAAGAAGTGGAGGCGCAGCGTGGGCAGCTTTTTGGGGGCCGGGGGGTTGGGTTGGGTTGGGTTGGGTTGGGTTGGGTTGGGGTGGGGGTTCGTTGGTGCCGATGTAGTTGAGACTGGTCCTTAAGGCCGACCAGGTTGCGCAGAGGGCCTCGTGGATTGGACTACTTAATGTGTTTGGGCCATGTAGGATTGCCAGTGCCTACCGATACCTTGCGCCGGCGGAGGGCAAGCGACCCGTCAAGACAGCTTTGGGGGTGGAGGGTGGGGGCACGGAGGCGCGGCGAGGGAGGGAGGCTTGCTTTTTGCCTCTTTGCCTCTTTGCCTCTTTGCCAAGCTCAATGGCGTTCTTCTTATCTTGCACCTTGCCAAGCATGACCGAGAGTTGCAAATCTTTTTGTACGGCGCTTCGACCATGCATGTTCTGGTTGCAGGACCGGGCAGGCGCGCGGCTTGAGGCGCTGCTACCTCGTGTTCAAGCCGTGCATCTTGCGCAGGCGGGCGTGAGCAGGGAGGCGGCTTGCAACGTCGTGGCTGCGATGTGTTGCGGGAAGGCGCGTCGTCCGGGATGCCGA